TTAAAACCCTTTTATATTTTTGACAACCTTCTCCCCCCACAAAATATTCAAATCCTGAATGAAGTCTTTCCTTTGACCTGGAAGAAGGAAAAAAACTTTTTTCTCTGAGAAGTTTCAGAGGGCCCCTGGGACTTCTCAAAGAAATTTGTTCCTTCTCTTCCTATAAAGAAGATACTAAACTAATTAGGCTTATTTGGTATGCTAGATTACATGGGAAGCATTGTCAAATAAGTGATGATAAACCTTCTTAGGTGGTATTATGTGGGTAAATGTTATTGATATAAATGTTTTAAAAATTATGTAGCATTCCTAAAATTCTGATCTGTCCTGGTTGTCAGCCATAATTCTAGTTATTATTTTAAAGTGTAGTATGTCACAAAATTAACCAAATTTCTTTATCAATTGCCATTTTGGGGTCTCGTTGTTTACTTATTGTTTTACCCTGATGCTTCTGCAAAATACATTTCATCTTCAGAGAAGTTTGTGGAAAGGACTCTGGCACCTACTCTAGAATACAGGTTTCTGATAAACCTCCAGATTATAAAACTGAACTGGGTAAGAAATTACAAAATTCTAACAGAGAAACTATTGACTTCATGAAACTGCTAACAGAAGATTAAGATCAAGAATCATTACATAGGACTAAATGAACTGATGAGGATGATTATAACTTTTATGAGTTTTGTTAGAAATATTGCTGATTTTTTAAAAAAATGTTTTGTTTTTTCAGATTTAAGGAAAACTTTTTCTTTTCTCTTAAGCTAACTATGACATAGCAATTTGGTAAATTATACTTTTGTAAACAGAATTGAAACATCTCTTTCTCTCTACCTGATCCCTCCAGAATTTGAGAACTCCTAGTAAGTGAACATTGTTATTCATGGCAATATAGTTATTTGCGTAAGTTCAATAAGAATCTGTTCTCCTTATAACAGGACACAATTGGAAACATTGGTTATATTATCAAACCTTTGACTGGAATGTCATATTTGAGAGAAACATGTATAGACTCAGATATGACCAGATAGCTTTTGAGAGACAAAGATTGGACTTTATGGAATAAAGCCACTTCGAAATATTGGCTTGGTACCTTGTTTATAGCATTCCAAACAGCAACCTTACTGGGTAAGTAAGGAAGGTCACTTATCTGGCAGGTGCAAGGAAACTCAATATTTTGGGGAACCTCCTGAGAAGAGAGGAATTCACCCAAATCTAAAGTATTGCAGGCAAAGCCTGATGACAAGTCCTTGGCTTGGCTTTCCTGGTGTTGAGAGGCCTTTAAAGTTCAATCTGAGATTCCTTATAAAAAGTTCCAGGAAAGCAGATTTAAAAGAGCCTATATGATCAATGGCTATTCTTGCTGTACTTATGTAAATAATTGGGCCAATTTTATTGAAATTAAACTTCTTTTGCAAACCAGTTAGTTTTAATTTGGCTATCTTTTATAAAAAAATGAGGGTGATTTTAGAGAGACAAAAAATATGTTTCAATAGAAACTATAGCACACATTCATGGATATTAGGTTCTAGTTCTGATAATTGTCTTTGAGGTTTTTGTTTTATATCTGTTAGCTGGACTGGATCCTGAATTCTTCTAGTCTCCTGAAATACCTGGCTACAAATCTCCAACTAACATTTTCCATTTTTTCCCATCATTTTCATTAGGAATCATTGAGAACTAAAACTGCCCTTTATCCTGAAGCCCTGCAAACTGAAGCTGGACAACTTGATATAAACTTAAAAGAGATTCATGTTTGTTGCTGTGTAAGCCACTCAGAAAGATACCTGAACACCCGATGACATCATCAGATATATCAAACTGCAAAAGATGCTTTGACCCTGACATCTAGAAATCTTCTTGACTGGCTGCCCCCTGGGCTCAGGAACTGGTTTATAACTTGCTCCAACCATTAACCTTATTGTTCTTTTTGTTTCTCTAGAAATGCTTCTTATTGAATACCTGGTTACTTGCTTACACAATATAGGCCTAACTTTGGGAACCCACTTGCATCACCACCTTACTAAGAGACTGGTTCTATGAGATGGAATGACCTACACCCCTTATTAGCAGATATCCCCAAAGATACCAGGTCCAGACTGGTTTTCAGGACTGTTTTCTTGGATTCCCCAAGGGATCAGGTCTATTTTTCAGGGACTGTTAACATTTGATAACTTCTTATCCTTCTGGTCGGATACTCGATTATAAAATGCACCTTTAGATGTTGTTCCAAAACTGTTGGGCAAAGTACAAAAATTCTAAGAATGCAAAATGCCAACCTAAAGCCGGGAACAAGAGAATATTTCCAAATAAGTGCTAAACAGTTTCATTCCTTTAACCCCGATCTATGCCCCGATTCAGCAGGAAGTAGCTGGATCGATTGTTGCCCCAAATCCCTCAAGAATAAGGAATGACCAAAGAATAGGGAGGATTGAAACTGGCAGTGATCTGTTGATGTTTAAATAGCTAGGAGCTTGTTTTTTTTCTTTTTGCAATTACTGGTTATAGCTTTTAGCTGTTTACCCACCCATTGTTAACTGTGCTGTTTAGGCAATATGCTATCTGACTCCCACTAGGTTCCTATAGATAACATCTCCCTGGACCCTGGGTCACCATGGTAATGGGTGTTTGAGCTGTTTTTCAGGATTTAGAACCCCTTGTCCACTTCAGGCTGGTTGAGACCAACAACCCATCAAGTAGGCCTGTGCAGATGTCCAATAAGCGACCTTTTGATGTCAAGAGGCTAAAAACTCCACCTTTGGCTCAGGCCAATGCTGCCATTTTGTGAACACGCGTCCTGTGAAGATGCATGAAATCTGACTACGCTTGCACAGATCATCAATTACCTCACCTCTCCTCACCTTCAATCATCTATCTCCACAATTCAGAGCACCTTGCTCCCTCCCCCATAAATATCCCTGAGTCCCCATTATTGGGGAGACAGATTTGAGACTTGTTCTCCCGTTTTCCTCACTTGGCTGCTTTGTGATTAAACCCTGTCTCTCTGCAATCTCGTGGTCTCAGTGTTTGGCTTTCTGCACGAGGGGCAAAAACGAACCCAGTTCAGTAACAACCCTCCAACCATGAGGACTTGCAACCTGCACAAGCTGTGCCAGTCAGTCCCCAGATGTTTCAGTGAAGGCCCACCTGTCACAAGAGTTGCAATGAGCTGGATGATCTCTGGAATTATCTTTGAATCTCCCAACTCAAGATCAGAATTTTGCAGTATGTAATGACATGGTGCTTTGCCAATTGGTATTTCTGCTTGCTTTGTTACCCATGACACACCTGAGGATGTCTTGACATGGTAAATGTGGCCTCGCTAGGGATGCACGTCAACATGAAGAGAAACAGGACATGAGGAGACCCCTTGGAAGTGCTCCTCGCTTCAGGAGAAACCTGAGAAACCAGCCTGTATCTTCTAAGAGTGATTCCTCCTCTGTAATCTCTCAGGAGGGCTGCCACCACCAGGCAGACCACCTGCTGCTTGGCCTGGAAGTCGGGCCCCACCCACCACCCTGGGGCCTGAGGGAGGGAGACTAGAGTACAAAGGAGGCTGAGGAGGCAGCCCTGGAGGGAGGCAGTAAGAGATAGAAAGGGACAGTCCAGCATGGCTTCCATTCAAATCTTGGCTCCACCCCAACCGGGTGTGTGACCTTGGGCAAGGGAACCTCCATGTGCCCATTTCCTCACCTATAAACAGGAGCAATACTTACTACCCATGATTGTTTTGAGGGTTAAATGAGTTACTACTGATGTGGAGCACTCAGAAAAATGCACTTGGTAAGCAATTGTAAATAGATTTAGCGCCAAGAAAGTGGAGTCTGCCAGCCAAGCACTCCTGACCCAGTTGTGTCAGGTGGGATCCAGCCCCTCCCTGGGCTTCTTTTCCCTATATGCAAATCATGGATAATAACCAACTCCCCCAAACAGGATTAAAGAATCCATCTGGGAGCACATGGGAAGACAAAACTAGCTCTACAAAAATCTAAAAGGTTAAAATGAATGTCTGATGCTGGTTCCCTAGAGCACACTTGGAATTCCTGCACCCAGAAGAAGGGAGGCCGGAGCTGTTCCCTCAGTGACCAGATGACCCCCTCTTCACTGCTCACCCATGTGGTGTGAAGCTCTGGAACGGTTTGTCACCAAGGTCACCTAGCCCAGGGCTTTCAAACCCACTAGCAAAACCAAGTAGGTAGGTCACAAGCCCCATTAAAAAAAAGAGTGGAAAACAGAAACTCTCAGAATGCGTTACACAATATGGGTATAGTTTCAGGAAACGTTTGTCAGTTACGCATGCATGTTCTGGCTGGAAGTACAAAATGTGTTCTCACAGGGGTCATGGTCAGGGGTCTAAGTCCACTGCCAGAGTTCACCCAGGTATCAGCTCTGCATCCTGGAGCTCAGGGGCAGGTCATAGAGGATGCCCAGGAAACGCTGCCTGAGCCAGCAGAGGGCGCCCTGCACACAGCACCCTGCATGAGGGACTCCCCCATTCTCTCTCTGACCAGGCCTTTGGGCTCACTGCAAGCCCAAGCCCACTGCGGGCCCCACAGCCCACCTCTAGAGAAGATTAGCAGTAGCAGAGAGTGGCCTTGGGCCTTTGCACCTCCAGGCCTGGCCTTGCTCTCACACCCCCAGCCCCTCCTCAGCTCTCCTGTGCCTTTATCCCTTTACCCACGCTCGTCTTCCAATACTCTGCTTCCCTTCCTTCAACTGACCCACTTCCTCTCACCTGTCCAGCCCTTTCCTTTAGTCTTTGTTTTCCCTTCTTTTCCTTTCTTCCCCCACCCTTTGCCTCCTTTTCTACCCTCTCCTCCTTTTCCAGGACACATATACACACATACAGTGTTTTTCAGACAATTCAGCCTTTATTTTTGAAAATAATTCTGTAGCTTCAACTTTCTACCACGAACTGAGGTCAGGCAAGAAAGAAAAAAACACACATTGCTCTCCAACCTGCCATCTGCATCCTCATCTGAGTGGACACGGGAATGCCTGGGTGAGAGGCGAGGGGAGCCAGGGCCATCCTGTCTTGGCTGCTCTACCTCATGTCGACAGGGCTGCCAGAAGCCACGGGCCTTAGGCAGGAGCCTGTGCACCAAACCCCAGGGGAAAAGGGGCACAAGGAGCTAATCTCTCTTTCCCCAAGTCAGCATGAACCCTCCTAGAGCGATAGGGAAGGGATCAGTTTTTAGAAAGGATGGAATCCAGAGACAAAGTCTGTTGCTTGGCGGCAGAATAAGGGAGGTGTGCCCCAGCACACCAAGGCTTTCCTCCCACTGCCGGGGACGAGCTGAGGAGAGGTCTTGCTTCTCCCCTTCAACTTTTCATCTTATAATCACAAACTGCTAGAATGCAGGGAAAGAAGAGCTCAGATGAGTCAGGGATGAGGAGAGAGGAAGAAGAGAAAAAGGAGGGAGGCAGTAAACCCTGACAACCTAACAGCTCCACCCAGACCCTGACGATGAAATCCCTTTGGTTAGTGTCATTTTGGCCACAAATATGTCCCCCTCTCATATAACCCAGTCCCACTCCAACTGGGGGAAGGGGTCAGGTACAGTAAGAGGGCTCAACCCTTGGCTGGAAGAGCCAGGATAGGGAAAAGAGGCCTGGTCAAGAGAGCTCAAGTTGCCAACCTATCTGCAGATGTCCTAGGAGAAAACCTGGAATGTGGACATTTGTAGCCCCAACAAGCCCAAGCCTCTCCCTACCACACAGTGGTTTCCTGCTTAATACTTCCCAACATACCTTAGAAAGGTTCCCCTAATCTGACCCCCTTGAGAACGGGAGAATAACCCTCACCTTATCATCTGTGCACTCGAATGCCATTTGAACAACAGCAACAAAAAAGAAGATAAATGGACCCAAGAGAGAAACACAGAGAGGACAATGCAGCCAGGGACTGCAGTCCTGCCTCAGTCTGTGATATGGCAAGGGAAGGGCCCAGGAAGGACGGGCAGGTGCTAATTCCAGCTGGGATCATAGCCGTCCCAGGTCTGTGGGGGGGCCAAGTGGACTCGGCGGCCCCGGAACAGGAAGCTGACGATGCCCCGGTAGCCAGCCCTCGGGACGCCGGACTTGAGGTCGTCCATGACTCCCAGGGCCTTGGCGAAGGCCTTGAAGCTGTCCCTGCCAGTGTACTGCACCCGCACCTCCCCCAGCTCGTTTCGCTCACTGGTCCTCACTTTCTCCACCTGCAGCAGGGGAGCGCCATAGACACGGGCAAGGAAATCCCTGTCATAGGCCTCCTGCCGCAGGTAGGACAGGTCTAGCTGGGTGAAGGGTACAAAGTGCTGGTTGAGCTTGATGAACTTGAGGTGCTGGTCAAAAAACTGCCCGTGGCTCACACCCTTGCGGCCAAAGGTCATCGTTCTGGAGATTTCAGGCCGCACACAAGCCCGGCCTTGCCGCTGCTCAGGCCGGCGCATCCAGTCATCCCAGAAGGCCTTGGGCCACTTGGGCTCCAGCTCAGCCCAGAGCTCAGCCAACAGCAGCCAGCCCAGGCCAGGGAAAAAGTCTGTGCGGTAGAGCAGCTCGGGCTTGCTGGAGTCCACCATCTGCTCCTTGCCATTGTCATTCCAGGCAGACACACACCAGAGGGAGGGGTCGGCCCTCAGCAGCGGGTACGTGGCCTGGAAGTACTCAAAGAAGTCTGGTGCCACCTCTAGATCATCCTCCACCACCACAGCTGCAGGGAACTTGAACCTGTGGAAGACCTGGCCCAGCGCCCAGCGGTAGTGCCGTGCGATCTTGTAGTAGCCCTGGAACTTGCGGTGGTCGGGTGGCACAGCGATGCTGCTCAGGTCGGGCTGCTGGATGTGAGTGACTGCGCTGCCGTAGGAGGCAATGACCTGGGCTGTCTCCTCGTGTCCACAGTCCTGGCTGACAATGATGGGGAAGTGCTCCGCTGAGGGCCGATAGTGCAGTAGCTTGTCCAGGCAGCGCCGGACAGTGCTGCGGTCACAGGCAATAACCAGGATGGGGATCACAGCTGGCAGGGAGGTGACAGGCACACGTGGTGGGACGGGTGGGGCTGCAGTGGGCACCCTCCACCTCTGGCTCCACCGAGCATGGTGCTCCCTGATCTGCTGCAACAGCCCCCGCTGCCGCTCCAACTCCACCTCGGCGTCCTGGGCCAGGCGGATCACCTCGCGGGTAAGACCAGCGGGGTCATCATCAAGAGCGCCATCTGAGGGCAGCCTGCTGGGTGATGGGCGTGTCCAGAAGAAGAGGAGCAGCAGGGCGTTCCAGGCCACAAAGAGGATGGCGCCCCACAGCACAAGCCCTGCAGACTGCTTCTTCAGCATCCTGGCCCCCACAGGGGAGGCAGGCAAGGATGGTGCTGAGGCTGCCTTCGGCTTGCCTGGCTCACTCCCCACAGTCCTAGGGATGTTTCCTCTGGGTTTCAGGATTAGGAAGCAGCCATGCACCTGAGGAAAGGAGACAGAAAACCAACAGTCATCACAAAGGCATAGGGCTGCCCTGGGGTAGAGGGGTGGGTCCCAGGAACAGGTGAAAAAGTACAGGAGGAGGGAGGCCAAGAGGTTGACTCCAGGGTTCTCTTAGAAAAGAGCTCCCGTCCCCTAATCTGGGAGGTCAATCTGCTTGGGAAAATAGGATTAGAACAACATGCTCCCCTACTCCAAAATGAGTTCATGAGTCCTCAGAAAAGCAATATACGTTTGAGGGGGAAGTAGAGAGTGATGCTGGTGGAAGGGAGAGAGCAAAGGAACCCCACTTCCCCTTCCCTACCTGACAGATTTCGTTTCCCATCTTCTATCCAGAGCTTACAGGGAAAGATGGGATGAGACCATCTGCCTCCCACTCCTCAACCAAAACTGCCCCAAGATTACTGACTTAAAAACTCCAATATCACATCTCAGGGCTAAAGCCAGCACGTTACCTAATAAAGAAGCATTCCTTTGAAGGTTAGGAGCAAAGCCAAATGCTCACCATTGACAAGACTATGTAACATTCTGTTGCAGGCGTCAGCCAACGCAATGGACAACAGAACACAACTAAAGGCAGAAGTGGCAAAGAAGCAAAATGATCTCTACTTGCTGATGCTGTGAAAATACGCCTGGAAAAATCTAGGAGAATCAATGATGAAACCAACACAAGCGATCAAATAATTGAGCAAGGTGGCAGGATATAAAAATTAACATGCAAAAATTAATTGCCTTCGTATCCACAAATAATGGATGAGAAAACCCTATTTACAATAGCCACGAAAATGATAACCTATTTAGGAATAAACTTAAGAAATACTCAAAACCTATATGAACAAAACTATAATTCCTGAAAGACACAAAAGACTTTAAAATCCCTTGTTCTTGGTTAGAACATCTCAGCATCATCAAAAATCTCAACAAAAATACTTTTTTTATGGAGCTAGACAAATTGACACTAAAGTTCATGCAAAAAAATGAATATAAAACGAGCTGTGAAGATGGACTAGCCCTACCAGATATTAAAGTACTACACATTACAAAGCCTCTATAATTAAAATCAGGTGGTGCTGGTAAGTAAATAAACACATCATGCAATGGAATAAAATTTCAACTCCAGAAATAGACCCAACTACACATAGAAATCTAACAAATGATAAAGGTGATATTTAGAAATACTGGGGCAAAAAACGGTCTTATTAATAGTATTATAACAACTATATAGTTATTTGGGAAAAAAAATTAGATCCATACATAAGAATAACTCCAAGTGGATCAGAGATCTAAATATAAAAATTAAAACTATACCAAGTGCTAGAAGAAAACATGGGTCAATTCCTCTATAACCTGGGTATACAGAAAGCCTTTCTAGGTATGAATCAAAATACAGGTGCAATAATAAATAAAACACTTTTGCATGACTAAAAACACCATAAACCAAGTCAAAAGACAAATGACAAACTGGGAGAGAATATTTACAACATATATCACAAATAAAGAGCCAACACTCTAATCGACAAAGAACTTTTAAACTGAGGGAGGGAAAAGGCCAAAAATTCTTGTCTAAAAGACAAGGGCAACTCACAAAAAAGATACTAAAATGGTCCTTAGACATATGAAAAATGTTCAACTTCACTCATAGTAAGAAAAAATGCAAATGAAAACTATACTGAGATAACATTTTTCACCCATCAGACTGGCAAAAATTCAAAAAGTTGTCCTACTGTTCACTTAACAGTGTCAGTTAACAGAAGTTTTTAATTTTGATGATGTCCATTATCGTGGGTTTTTTTCTTTTAAGGATCATGCTTTTCGCATTGTATCTAAGAAATCTTTGCCTAACCTAAAGTCACAAAGATTTTTTCCTGTTTTTCTCTTTTAGGTTTTATAGTTTTAGGTTTTATATTTAGGTTTATGATTGATTTTGAGTTAATTTTTTATATGGTGTCAGGTATGGAACTAACGTCCTTTTATAGCAGTTTGTCAAAATGCTAAACACATTAACCACATGACCCAGCAAGTCCACTCCTAGATATAAATCCAAGAGGAATGAAAACATATGTCCATACAGAAATCTACACAGAATGTCTATACTAGCTATATTCAGAATCGCCAAAAACTGGAAACACCCCAAAAGCCCATCAAGAGGGGAATATGGATAAACAAATTATAGTTTACCGGCAGAATGGAATTAACATTCAGCAATAAAAAGGAATAAGCTACTGATATACATAACACATGGATGAATCTTAAAATAATTATGCAAGATGTGAAAGACCAAAAAAAGAGCACATGCACTGTGATTCGACTTATATAAATCTCCAGAAAATACAAAGTAATCTATAATGGGAGAAAGTAGATCAGTGGTCACCTGAGGATGGGAGCAGTGAAGGCAGTGGGAGAGGTATTATGAAGGGGCATGAGGAACTTTGCAGGGGGGGTATGTTTATCATCTTGATTGTGGTGATGGGTGTATACGGATGTCCAAACTTATCAAGTGGTACATTTTAAATATGTGCAGTTTATTCTATGTCAATTATACCTCAATAAAACTTTTTTCTTAAAAAAGACATTATTGGGTCGAATGACAGCACCGGAATAGAGAAAGTAGACTGATGTATCAGTGTTGACTGATTGATAGCCACACTGTGGTCACGTAAAAGAATATCCCAATTCTTAGGTAATACACACCGAAGTAATTCGGGATAGAGAGCCATATAGATGCAACTTCTCAAATGGTTCCAAACAAAAATACCATGTTTATATATGGGAGAAAGAGCAAATGAAGCAAAATGTTAACAATAGCTGAATCTGAGTAAAGGAAGCATGAATGTCCTTATACCATTTTTATTCTTCCAATTTTTTTAAGTTTGAAATTATTTTCAAAGTTTCTTAAAAATCGAACATGGGGAATGGCCCACAGCTCTGACTAGCTTCATCTATCAATACGGCCCCCCTGGGCACATCAGTAAGAGCAACTGAGACAACCCATTTGTCCTGAACTCCTCAATCACTCAGCGACATGCATCACACACCTGCTCTCTGCCAGGCTCTGAGAAGGGACTGGGACACACATCCAACAAGAAAAAGGCATGGTCCCACCAACCTCCTCACTCTGCCACTTGAAAAGATCTACAACAGCTTCCAATTCCTGGACAGCTGCCATTCCTGACCACACACCTCTCCTGGCCCTCTGCCTCTGGTCTCACCCCTTCACACTCCAAAGCTTCAGGTACGTGCCCTCTCGTGCCAGTTGCTCTGCCAGTTACCCTCTGCCTCACAGCCCAATTCTCTAATCCTAGCCAAAACCTCAGGTCCCAGATGCCATCTCTGCACTCCTGGGCTCTCAAGCAGGCAGATCCAGTATCAAAGGGCTAATCCTGAAGAGCCTGGAAACGAATCTGGATTTCGTCTCCCCCCTGGGGAGACTCCCAGGCCCCTGCCAGCACCACCAGCACTCAGCACTCATCTTCCTCCTAGAAACCATCCACTCCCACAACTCCACAGCACCAGTCTTCTCAGAAACCTCAAGTCTGTTTCCGTTTTACTGTGTCATTCAACTCCCATTTTACCAGTTCTCATATACCAGTCAGGGTTTCACAGAAGAAGAGAGACACACACAGATTTCCAGTTTCTTCTTCACTCCCCCTCGGACTGTGTAGTCAGTGTCAGAACTTTCCCTCCAATCTCCTGGCCAGGGTTCCCTATTCCCCAACTTCCTGTCTCCTGACTGACTGGGCAGGAAAAAGTCTTTAGGTAAAGGGACAGGGAAGGAGAAGAGACTGAACTCCAGCAGTTGAGGTGTTGGCCTCAGGGCTGGAGGAGCAAGCCTGTCTCTGACTTACCAATGAGCCCCCTCAGACCAGCAAGCTCTCAGACTGGTGACAAAAACCCAAGGGACCATATTCTCACTACCCTTCAGATGACTTGTGCAAGCTTTCACTGTTCTCCAGACATTAGAATTAGGTGGCCCACATCCACTACCTGAGGCCTAGAAGACCTCCCCACATCCTTTCTAAGCCATGCAGATCTTAGCAAGTCTGCAAACATCTAGAATGGCTGGAAACTGCTGCCCCAGTCCTGAGAGGCCTCCACTTTAGCCCTCAGGGCCTTGTTCTCCAGGACACACCCCCCAAGTTCACAAACAGAACTTGCTCCTCTTGCCATAAAAGAATGTGACACCCCTATTCCCAGGCCCCCTCGCTTCTCCACACAGACTCATCCAGAGTCCCAGTGTGGTTGGTTTCCTACTGCTTCTCCACATGTTCTCCAGGGTAGGATCCTCCGCTCTGTCTGCAAGTTAGTGATGTGTGCCCATACAGAAGTGCATGCACTCACTAGCAGTTGGCTGTGCCTGACCCAGAAGGCCAGCCTTTGGCCAGCAGAGTCCACCCACTCCTCCAGGAGCACTGTTCTGAGTCCTACCGTCGGTAGGGTAAGGCAGCAACAAGGACGAGCCAGACAGCCTAGGGGCAATGCGGGGCATCACCCTGAGCTTTCTCACATCTCTGAGACTCCATTTTCTCACTTCTAAGAAGGAAACCTTAACAGAATACCTCATTGAGTTGCTGTGAGGACTGGGTGAGATAATGCACATCACGTGTTTAGAACAGTGCCCAGTTACGTGACAACATAAATGGTAGCCAGTCATTTGTTTGTTCCCTCTCTCGCTGGCTCTCTTTGCTCCACTCTGCTAGCTTCCTTCCAGGCCCCAAACACCCAAGCCCACCTCAGGGCCTTTGCATGTGTATGCCTGGTCTCCTCCCTGTCTTCTTCACCTGGTGCGCTCTGACTCATGTCTCTGCCAGGACACCTTCCCTGAAGCCTCTGGACCATGTGAGGCCCACCTCCCCTTCACAATCATCAGCATCAGCGCAACCTCTTGGTCAACATCTGTCAAATCCCCTTGGCTACAAGCTACTCGAGGACGGCGACCAGCTCCTCCAGTGCTGCCAAACTGCCATGCTAGGATCCTAGGCATTCAGGAGATATGCCTGTGACCTAAAAACTAGCTTATGCGTGGATGCCACACACCCACAATCCCATAACTGCAATTCCCAAGTCCAAAAAGCACTGAAAAACAGAAGTTTTCCACACTCATTTGGCAGTAAAACCTGACCTAATCTAATCTGGCGAAATCTGATCTGATTTAATGTAACGCTACTTATAGTCTTTATTTATCCCACTTAGTGTGACTATTCATACATTATGCTACAGAAACAAACAAGCTGGATTATGGTGTACTGCCCCAGACCTTAACACTACATTGTAAATGCACCAGATCATCTTTTTAAAATCCAAAAAATTATAAATTCTGAAACACATCCAGATCCAAAAATTGCAGAATTATGAAAACAGAAGAGACAGTTACTCATTCACTGCCACTGTCCCATTTCAAGCCCTCAAACCCTTTAATCTGACCTCTCTTTCCTTATTATGAAATATTGTTTTAAGCCTGAACTCTTCATGTAGCTTCTCAGCTGGTCTACATATTGCTAATCTTGCTTCCCTCTAAGCAATCTGCCCAAAGGCAACAGAGCATCCTTCATCAAGTACACGCCTGGTTACAGCATTAGCCTACCTTAAAAACCACCAGAGGCTGCCACTGCCCACAGAATAAAACTCGAACCTTTTATTACAACACGCAGGGCCTTCACAAGAAAGTGACTCAAACATCCTTTTTCACCTCCAAGCACGAGCCCCACGAACCCCATACTATCCTCAGCAGGCTGCTGATTTCCCCAGTAAGTACACTTGTGCCCTGCTGTGTGTCTTTACTCTGGCTGGTCCCTCGTCCTGAAATATTATCCACAGCCCCACCTGCAAGCACTCTCACATCCTTTAGAGTCCAGGTCAGATGAGTCTTTCCGTAACATCCCAAGCAGAGCCAGGCCTTCCCACGACTACACTCCCACTGCACTCTCTCCATACCTCCTGTCTTTCTCTTCCACACTGTAAGAATCTGTGGTTGTGCCTTACCTGGCTCTCACCTTACTCCTTAGGAAACAGGCTCTATGACCTCTAAGCCTATCAGAGCTTGGCACGTATGAAGTTCAAGTGGCTAGATGGAGAACTGCTTGCATTATTAACTAAATCAAGGAGAAAGAAGACCAAACCAGCAGAGAGTAAACGATTACATTTCCCAAATATGACCACCACATATCCCATTCCACACGCTTTTCTTACAAAGTGACAATGACATTCCTTCCTCCAGAGGTGGTGCCTACATCCCTCTTTTTGATCTGTGACTACAGAGGAAATGACAATATGTGACTTATGAAACTAGCTCATGAAAGGCAATAGTTTCCACCTGGTGCTCCAGAGATGCCTGCTCTTGCAACCCGGTCACCAAGCTAAGAGGGAGTCCAGGCCACATGGCAGGATACCTATAGGTATTCCAGTTGACAACTCCAGCTAAGGTCCCAGCTGACAGCCAGCATCAGCCTCTCGACATGGGAGGAAGCCTTCGAGATGATCCCAGCCCAGTCATAACTGACTGCGACTGCATGAAAGACCACGAGCAAGAACCAGACAGCCGAGACAGGAAGATGATTCTGTTGTTGGAAGCCACTAAGTTTTAGGGTGATTCACTATGCAGCAATAATTTCCTCAAACAATGAGTAAAACAGAATCTAAGCAGCCTTGACAAGCAGGGTAAGTCTTCTTCCTGCCCTCTGTGCTGAGGTCCCAAGTCCCAATTCTGAGGGCCTGCCTCTACTCATATCCTCTTCCTAATTAGATATCTATTGCTGAATAATGAAAACACTTACTGGCTTAAAACAATAACAATTACTATTCCCTGTCACAGTTTCTATGGGTCAGGAATTTGGACAGTAGGGCACAGAAGGGATGACCTGTCTATGCTCCATGACGTCTGGGACCCCAGCTGGAAGACTCGAAAGCTGGGGGCTGGACTTCTCTAAAGGCTTATTCTCTCACACGTCTGCAGGTTGAAGGTGGCGTCAGCGGAGACGTTAGCTGGAGTACTGGCTGGAACACCTCCACATGGCCTCTCCACCTGGCCTGGTCTTCCTCTGAACATGACGGCTGGGTTCCAAAGGTGAGTGTCCCAAGAGACTAAACAAGCTGGATCCTTTTCACAATCCAGCCTTGGATAACTTCTGCCTTACAAGTCAGGGGACTCACTAATCCCCACCCACATTCAAGGAGAGAGAACCACAAACCTCACCTCAGGGTGGCAGGAGGACAGTCTCCAACTGTAACAACAAGTGGTATGGGACACTTATGGGTGTGGCCATCCTGGGAAGATATAACCTGCCACACCTTCCTTTTCTAAAATAGAACAGTCCTTAACCCTGACCTGAGTCACTGATGTTCTGTTATTAATGATATTTGCCTGCAAGGCACAGACTCAAAACTGGTTTTAATTTGCTAGAGTTTTCACAACTCCTTAGGGAAGTGAAACAGTTGGTCCACACCACTAAGTTCAAAGACATCTGCACGGTGGTGGGAGATGAGGAGTGAGCCCTTTCAATATATAAAACCCTCAGCCAAAACCCAGGAGGCTCTGGGCAGGACCCACCAACCCCTATGGTCTCAGTTTCTTCATATGAAGGACTGCCTTGGAGCTGTGAGATCCCTTGCTAACACTCTGATTCCACGGTGTTCTCCAGCCAGTTCCCTTTCTCTGGCAAAATTGTTTCTTAAACAGTAAGAGAACACCAAATAATCAACTTCCCGTAGTGAGCAATAATGGAGAAATCATATTTAACTTTAAAATTAAATATGAGAGTTGAAGGACTATTCACAGATTTTTCCCCTCTATCTCTGTCTTGGTTAGTATATGAAAAAGCACTGCCTGAAAAAAAGGATAGAACATGCCACAGATAATGGAGATCTAACTGAATTATTTTCTTGTTCATTATTAGGCCTCTGCTAGACTCTTGTTTCATATACCAGACTCCATAATTTCAGAAGGATGGAAGAACTGAAAGGGAGTCAGAGAAGATACACTAAATAACTCAAGGGCTTAGAGAATAAAACCTAGGAGGGAAGGGATGCAGGTTATTCATCCCAGAAAAGAAAAGGCAAAGGGGAAGTATGGTGATAGTGCAGCAACAAGCATGAAGGCCAGCAATTCAGGCCATCCTGCACCAGCAATCCAGGTAACCTCGGAAAAGTCACTTGACCCAGTTGATTAGGATCATCTCCAAGGTCCCTGGTCTCTGATGATGAAGAGGATAGTGACAATTTCCCCAATGTCCCAAACAGGAAATAAGTTAACCTGTCACACGTGCTACTGAAGTGAGACATACTATGCTTTCTAAAGCGAGAAAGGGACACAGCAGCGGGGACCCATTGGGAAGGGTCAGGCAGCGGTGATCCAGGATGGCAGGCAGATCCCACAGGATATGAGCTTTTAACAGAAAAGGCTACAGGGTCTGAAAAGTACCATGAAGGAGAGAAAAGCAAGCTGGACGACATCTCAGCCAGCGATGTTCTAAAGCAAAGGCTACACACGCCACAGGGGCAGGGCTAACCCAGGCGGAGCCTCGCCCCAGGCTCGCTGTTCTGTGGGGACACACAGCAGCGGGCCACAGTCCCCTGCTCCAGGTTATAAGACGGGGCCCTTGCACGTCTCAGGAGCCCCTATTCCACACACATAAGCAAACAGGTGGGAAAAAAGTTTTCTTGCCAATTTACAGATTTCCGTATTGAGTCAATTCTTTTTTACGGTTGAAGAGAAAAAGCCCCTAGTAACTTATGGAAAGGACGCCGAGGTGGGCTTTGGGGAAAGGCCACCTCCCGTTCCCGCTCCCCAAACCCTATCGAGGAGGACCCCACCTCCTCCCGGCCCCGCTCCACGCACGCCCTGCGGCCGCCTTTCCCAGCCGCCTCCCCCACCACGCAGAGCCCGGCCGCCCGGCCGCCCTCCGACAGCTGGCGGCCTGGGATTCCGAAAGCGGAATGCGGAGCTCGCACTTCCCGGCTCCGGCGGGGGCGCGCGGCGGGGACGGGGCGGCCCGGGCCGAGTCCTGTCGCCGGGCTCACGGGCACGGGGGCTCTCGGGAGACATGAGAAGCTCGGAAATGGGCAGCTTCTCAAGCCGAGACCCACGTCCCGCAGCACCCTCTCCGTCCCGCGGGGCCTCCCTCGGTCGGAGCTCCGTCCCCTCCCGGGAACAAGCCCCAGAACTGACGAACGCAGGCGTCGCCGGCCCTACTCACCAGGTCCTCCCAACTTCCCGGCTCTGCACTCAGCCCGCCGCGGAGCGCGGGGAGCCAGCGCGGAGCCCGGCGCGTCCCAGGCACTCGCGCGGCCGCCGGCGCCTTCCGCCAGGCCAGCCCTTCCTGCGGCGCGCCGGGCGGACCGCCGGGGGGGACAACGTGGCCCTTCCCCGGGGAAGGCGGAGCGGGCCGAGGGGCGGGGCCCCCGCCTGACCCCTTCTTCCCGCGCCCGCCTCCCCTCCCCGACACTTCGCAATCACCCGCCGCCTAGACAACCCAAGTTTTCCGGCGTCCCCAACTTCGGGAGGCGCTGTAGAGGCAGCTGTTACCACAGTCCTTCCCGCCTTCTAATCGCAACTCCCCGGGTCGATACCCGACCCCACCCACACCCTCGACCCCCTCCAGTCCAGACTTCTCCCGGCGTCTCCCCCCTGCCCCCCAGCCTCGGCGCCCAGAGCCTCAAGGAGTTGGGGGCGAGGAGGGCGGAGACCTGCCTGAGAGGTAGGCCGGGTAGCCCAGGAAGTGCGTTCGCCAAACCCAAGGCCAAGGGTCTGGGGACCAGCTCCCCACAACCCCCCCGAGACGGTAGCTTCCGGGAAGGAGGAGTCAGGGGCAACTGAGGGACGCGTGGTGCAGGGATGTGACAACAGGAACCAGGGTGCCAAAAGGAAAGTCAGGGAGGAAACACCTGCTGCCACAGGCAGGGAGAGCCAGCTGTTTCTTTTCTTTTCTTTCTTTTTTTGTTTGTTTTTTCCTTTGTGGGTGGGGAATCGAAGCTGTTAGTTCTGAGTAAAGGAGCAGAGAGAGGCAGACCTGTCCCCAGGGTAGAACCACCACACCTAAGGAGGAAAGGACTCAATCACAGGATTTTGTGATAGCCCTGTGAAAGGGCATGGGGGAAGCACCCCGGAAGAGCCTAGATGTCTGTATCTGACGTTAAGAAGTGAGGGTGGGAAGCTGAGAACTACTGGCTGCTGATGCAGATGACTTTCCTGAGAAGGACAGGCCAGGGCCTGCCCTCCCAAGTGATGAGGACACACCATACCGGCACCAGACCCTCCCCACTTCCACTTCCCTCCCCTGTGTTCCAGAGCATAGAGCAGGCCGGAACTTTGCACCGTGTGGTTACTGACTGACTTTGCTCACTAACTTGTTTCTATCTGAAACCAGAATTTATGCAGGGTTCTAGAGAAACAAAAGGCAGAGCATGCCCTAACCCTGCATGGAGATGAGGCACTAAAACAAAATTGCACAGAGGCCTCCACCCGCCAGACCCCTCCCTCAGCCTCTCCTTGAACCCCCTGGCAGCTCTGGAGAGTATGCATTATCATCTTGTTCTCTACATGAGTCTAAGCCTCATGGTAGGTGCCAACTTGCTGAAGGTCACAAGACCTACTGGTGGGCATGGCCAGGTTTTAGACCCAGGCATTCTTGCCTCCAAAGCTAGGGCTCATTCCCTCCCCTCATGCACCCTTGAGTCTGGGTGTCCAGCAGGTAGGTGCACAGTGGGGCAGCAGGGAAATCTTGGCAGAAGCAGTTGGAGCCCGGCTCTGAAGGAGTAGAGTGAGAGAAGAGCCGACACATCAGTGAGGCTGGTCTGTGTGTCCAAGCTCTCCAGCTTAGCTGATTGTGTGGACTGTGGCAGGAGATGCAAGTCCACACTCATGTGCCAGCCAGCAGCCAGTGTCTCTGTACCTGGGCCCTCTCTAAGCTTTTGCCCATGACGAGGACATGGGAGGCCTACACACTCACACTCCATGTCAAGGCAAGAGGGAAAACAATAAAGTTTCCTGAAAGTGTAAAAAGTTGGGAAACACTGGTTTGTAATCCAAGATATCAGGAGCTAAAAATCACTCTCTAGGACAAAGGGCATAGTGGGATGTTGAAAGGTGGGAAACCCATGAGATGGGTTGATGAGATGTCAGATTCCCAACTCTAACAATAATCCTTCTCCATCTAAGGCACTTCAGTGGGGAACAGGACAGGGGACTGTCTGTGCACCATAACTCACACGCCATCACCACAGTCCATTATTTAAATCCCAAAGCTCACAGGAAGATCTAAGAGGAGAAATTCCCTGACTACAAAATGACTGTCTCAAGAAGAAAGGGCCTGGTTAGAGAATCAGGATGGGCTGAATTCTTTGATGGAAGCAGGAGAAAACATTTAGTCTGAGAGTCAAGAAGCCAGGGTGATGAGTGCTAAATTAACCTAGGGAAAGATGGAGGAGTTATGGAAGAAAAAGGTCAGAAGAAACAAGGAACCAGGTGCCTGGATTCTAGAGATGAAACTGGGATTGGATTATGTGAAAATGGAAGAAAGAGGAAGATCTGGTCACAGGATAAGAGAGAATTAGAAGGGGCAATACTGTATCCTGCACCCCCCCGCCCGTCCCCTCCCAAAGAGAACTAGAGAGATAAGGAGAAGGAAATGAAAATTGATCCAGGAAACTGCCCTGCCATAAACCATGCCCAAGATACCCTGACAGTTTTTGCAATTTGGAAAGAATTCATGCTCTGAACTTATGACAGATTTTGACTTGAAACCATCAGTGGAAGTAAAAGCAAAGTTTTAAATCAGTTTTGTGTCTATTTTCCCCTCTCCCTCCTCCCAACATCCCCCTCCCCATGGAGACCCAGAAACTCAGCTCATCAAGATCAAAAAAGAAAGAAAAGATTAACACAGTAAATCACTGAGCAACGTTTGTGAAATGAACTTTTGGTTAGCCACCTACAATTCCTTTTGGAAATTAGAAGGGTATAGGGCTGGCCTGGTGGCATAGTGGTTAAGTTTGCGCGCTCCGCTTCCACGGCCTGGAGTTAGCAGGTTTGGCTCCTGGGAGCGGACCTGCACACCGCTTATCAAGCCATGCTGTGGCAGCGTGCCACATATAAAGTAGAGGAAGATGGGCATGGATGTTAGCCCAGGGCCAATCTTCCTCAGCAAAAAGAGGAAGATTGGCAACAGATGTTAGCTCAGGACTAATCTTCCTCACCAAAAAAAAAAGAAAAGAAAAAAAAAAGAAGGGTATAAATAAATTCAGTTAAAACACACATAACGTTTGTTGAAGTCTATCACTGGTCCTGGCTAAGTGGCCTGAGCATCCTGGTGCCCTTCTAAGAAGGTGCCCCTGTGAGAAGGCTGATGGCTGTCTTGAGAGGACTGTCTTGTGGGTCAGGCAGAGGGCAGGACTAGAGCTTTCAGTGGAAATGACATGGGAGAGGAATTCTGGCTCACTTTAAGGAGGAAATGTCTTACCAGAAGGCTGTCTGACAGGGCACTGAGTTCCCCTCCCTGGAGGTTTGCAGCAGAATCCAGAAGGCCCTTGTCAGATCAGATGCTGTAGAAACAGCACAACACTGGGCAGGGGATCACAGCGTCTGCCACTCCATACTTAGGCAAGCCCTTTCTGCTCAGGGCTTCTGTAGCTTCCCTCATATATCAAACTGGGGAAATAATCCTGCTCTGTCTTCCTCACAGCAATGTGGTGATGGAAAACAGACACAAACAACAGCCTGGACACTTCACCTAATGTAAGCCCTATACAAATACAACACAACTCCGTGGCACTTCAAATGCTTCGAAGCACTCACAGGTCTCTCCGGTAGGATAAAGGCTGCAGAGGCATCCTGGGACCACACATCCCTGATGGATCACTATGATCCCAGTGCCTAAGCAAAGAAGGCAAAAAGAATCTGCTGGGTGAAGCTGGGGGAGATGACATGCCCAACCTGAAATCCCGACCTTCTAAAATAGAAGCCTGGCCTCAGAGGGGCTGCCCCAGGCATCAGACCAGATGAGAAGGAACAGCTCAGGGCCAGTGACTCCACCCAGCCCTGCCAGCCCAGCCCTCAGGACACTGGGGGGACTCAGGCAAGGAAGGAAGAAGGGGGTAAAAAGAAAGAAACTTAATCACACATAGATGATTTTCAGCTTGCAAATTATCTTAGTTATTGTTGCCAGCCCCCAATGAATGTGAGACCCAGGTGTTACACAGCTAGTGAGAGGCAAAGAGATGCTAGAAGCCAAGCTTCCTGCCCCTCACCCAGGCCAGCATACCCCACTATCAAATTTCCCAACACCTCTCCTTTCCGCTGTTTGTTGTCACTGAGAAAAGCAGGCATCTTGGCATAGGCAAATTGGAGTTCAAGGAAGGAGCGGGCAGGAGGTAAACATGAACAGGTCTGCTTTAAGTGGCAACAGAGCCTGTGAAAATATAAAGGGCTAAGAGATGGCAGTCTGAGAAAACGTCTTAAAGAGCAGGAGAGAAGACTAGGACAGGGCTCAGGAAGCGCAGGCCCGGTACTCACTCCAAGAAATGCAGCTCCATCTTCTAGGGGCCAGACACTTGGCCTTTGAGACTTAAACTTTCCTCCAACCCTCTTTAATCTGCTACCCCAAAGAGGCACACTTGCCACGCTGACTGGAGAGCCCTGAGCGCCAGAATCCCTCAATCTCAGTTCTCCTTGGACCCATGCACCATTTCCACAACTTGATAATCCCAGGTATTGTTTAACAGGAAAAGGATGAGACAAATTCGGGGCAGGCTTTTAATTAAGGACATCTAAGGCTTTGGCCAGCACACTAATTGAATAAAAGAACAGAACTCCTAATTCAGAGCTTTTCTCTATGTAACAATTATACAGGTATATCAAGCAATGTCAATGTTACTGTTACATGGCCCTGGATACTTTTCAAAATCTTTCATTTCATTTGTTCCTTGTAACAAACTGTGAGGGACCTGGAAAGTCAGTTATTCCCATTTTGCAGGTGAAGAGAACACAGCAGAGTTTAACCGACATATCTAGGGTTGCACAATGACTAAGAAAGGCAGAGCTAGAACACAAAACCTGATTCCCAAACCTGTGTTCTGTTCCTCAGCTCTTTCCATGAGGTTTCATGGTCTAAGCTCCCTTATAGGTGGAGGAGGAGAGAGAATTTGGAGGTTATCTAGACCATCTCCTACCCCCACCCTAGCAAGGCAGTTCTATTCAGTTAGCTCCCCAAAATACAGCAGCCTGCCTCTGCCTGGGTAATCCATTCCAGAGTCTTATTTAACCCAAACTGATTTGGAATCCCATTATCTCAGTGTTGGAAAGACCCTTACAGGTAATCTA